TTCGCCGTGTAAATAAAGCGAGCCGAACACGAACATAATTTTTGAGCTCGAAATATGGCTCGCTTGTGTTCGGCTCGTTTACACCCCTACACATGGTAAAGTATATATTTCACAGTACTGTGTACATATAAAATGAAGGAGAATACAACTTACATATGTCACCACTTATACATGAAAATGTGTATTTCATTCTATAAAAGTTAACATAGTGATATCTTAATGTGAAATGAAGATTTTGGGTGATATAAATATAAAAAAATAAAGTTTAGGTGCTAAATATATAATTATTTAAAAATTGGATGGTTTGTAAGTAAATGCCCCAGAAAAAGATGGAAAGTAATGAGAGGATGTAACATTGGAGAGCTCCCAAGTGAAATCCAAATCACGGTTGATATTCATTTGAGGCTTCTCTCCTCTGGTTTTGAATTTGTAGGAATAACATCTGGTCAGCTCCCAAAAAAAAAAATAAATAAATAAAAAATTAAAAAAGAGTTTCTCCAGAGTTTTCAGCTGTTTTCGAAAGAAGCTTCGTGTCACGGATAAAAAGTTTCACATCGGCTAGGTGTAGGACCGAAAAACAATATTTAAGTCCTGGGCTGCCCATCACCCCCGAAGAACTCGTTTGGGAGGTGACAAGTGGTATCAAAGCAGATTACTGTCTGCCAAGTGCGTGCTCTCTCCATGGTCTAGTGAGACCCTCAGTAGAGCCGATCCGCGTCACGTGATTGTGTGGAGGAGAATGTCACGGACAAAAAGTCCCATCGGCTAGGTGTAGGGCCAAAAAACAGTATTTAAGTCCTGGGCTGCCCACCACCCCGAAGAGCTCTTTTGGGAGGTGACATTCGGCTGGCCTTTTTGATTGCACACATGAAATATTCTTAGTTATTTGACCTATTCAAAACATTACTTCTATAAAATATTTTTACTAATAGAGAAAATCCATTATAGTTGGTATAAATCACACATTAATATTTAGGAAAATCATCCCCCACAATATTAAAAGTCTTGATTATTTCTTTTTAGTACAAATAAAATATTTGAATGTAGATAAAACATGTGATGAATAAGTACTGCGGTTAGCCCAAAAAGAAAAGTGTCACCTTTGGTGGACACCAAATTTTTCAAATTTTTACTAGTATGTGAGCTTCAAACATAGAACCTTTCCGCATGGGGGCGAAATGCCAAACCATCGGACCGTCATCTTATCTGCCATATCTTTCATTGCTGAAGCATCATTGTGCACGAGCAATTATTAGAGGTGTGCTAAGAAAAAAAGTGAAATTAAATCAATGAAAATAATAGCTTTCTTAAAGGATTGAGCAACACTAGAGAACAAGAAGAAGAAGAAGACGAACATGAAAGATAACTATTTTCTTATTACATTCAATTTTATTACAAACGTTGGTTTATATAAATAGAACAAGCGACAAACTTATAAATAAGAAGGAGGGGGTAAAACATACATAACACAAAATACATGATAACAATAAATACATGTTTATGACTATTGTCTAACTCTAATATCATTGAACAGAGCAGACTACGAAGTGGAGCGAAGGTGGATGATCCCATTGAAGATGCAACCAACAATTGAGGCTGAGAATTCGATAGAAGCGACATGTATATCGTTTTAATTTCATTTCATTTGATTCATGTATGTCATTTTGTGAAAATTGAATAATTTGGTTTAATTTGTATGTTAAGTTTAATAAAATTAAAATAAAGTAAATTTAATTAAGCATATTATATATATAGATATATAGATTTTCAAATAGTTTTAGGACATATGTATTAAAAAATACATTGAAATATCTTGATATAAAATACAAAATGATTGGCTCTCTTCATAAATTTTAATTTCGAATAAAAAAAAAATATTTCATCATTATTGTATATATCACATGTGAAAATAGCTATGTTTCCTCTTACATTATTATGTAAAAAATCTATGGGTTTTTCTAATCTATAATTTATATGATCTTATTATCCTTTTGCAATTGTGATTGATTTTATTATAATTTGATTGCCATGAATCATATATTTTCTTTTTCTAATTCTTACTTCATTAAAAAATACCTAGAACAATTGAAATTGTAAACAAAAATCTTAAATATCTTTAATAAAATAACTCTAGATATGAATAATTTTTGGGGATCTCGTAAATGTCTATGTATAAAAAAAGTATTCCATAAGGACAACATATGCAGAGATGCATACGCTGTCTGATCTCAACCGTCGATCAGATTTTTTTTTAAATTAAAAATTAAAATTAGGCCCCACTGAAATACACATTTGCCCTGATCGACGGTCGAGATCGGACATCGTATGCATCTATGTATGGAATAATTAATCCTATGTATAACCTCTTTGTTTGTAATTGAAGAAAAATGGAAGATTTACATACAGACCCCTCAATTTCTATGTATTTACATATTTAACACCTAAATTTTAATGTACACATCTACGGCACCTTATTCATTGGGGCATATCTCCTCTCCTTTTCTTTTAAATTTTTTTGGATAAGAGATGTCGGTTCTAATCTGATGCGTGCCTCATGGGACTGCGAGCTCATTCGCTCCTCTGATTTTGAATATATAATCTAATATGGTACATGACTCATATATCACATAAGGGAAAGATGCTAGAGCGGAACGGAGCGAGCCAGCGGAGCGAGCGAGTTTTGTTATGTGGGTGTTGCTCCCGCGGTACTGTAGAAGGGTAATTTTATAATTATATATTGTATGCCAGAATTATATACATATGATGTATTTTAACCTTAACGAAAATTTATACTCTTTTTCTGAATTTGAAGAAAGCCACTGCTCTACACCCAAGTATATAGGCAAATTGCCGAACCTCGTTAAATGTTTTCTTCTTGATTTATGTTGAGTCATGCGTTTTTTTGGCACTAAAATTCTCTCTCTCTCTCTCTCTCTATATATATATATATCATACATGTGGCATTAATTTTCATACATATACATAATTTTTATGTATTTGAATATCTAATACCTAAACATTCATATTTATATACAGATCACTCAATTCTTTATCATTACATAAAAAATATCATCATATATTTTTAAAATTAAAATATATATTACCATACATAAATTTGCGAGAATAAGATACTATAAATCTAAATATCAAATATTAGATGTCAGATACATCGAACGGTTAAAAATCTAAAAAAATTATTCTCAAGTTCTTGAAATCAAACACCTCCAACTATGGCTGTCAAAATGGCTCGTTGTTCATGAACAGCTCGTGTTCGGCTCGTTAAGAAGTTCGTGTTCGGCTCATTCGCTAAGTTAACGAGCCGAACACGAACAACACGAACAAATATTTGTTTATTTGTATTCGGCTTGTTTTGGCTCGAAATACTACTGATCAATTATATATATATCTTTGCTTAGTAGTTTTTTTTTAAAAAATTAATTCACTACAAGGCTACAAAGATTTA